AAGATATTTTGTAGAGGTGACAAAAGCAATATGCAATCATATAATGCGTAATAATTTAAGATGCGATTTTGTTTGCATTGAGGCTTAAAATGAAGAGAGTTAATTAGATAAGGAAATGAAGAGAAGCTAAATAATTAAATTTCTTTGTGATTTAATCCAAGATTCATTTCAATGTGGAGAGCTAGCATTATTTTTTGGTCCTGATAAATGGGCACCCATCACTTTTGGACTTTTGTGCTCTAGCCAGTCTCATACAGGACCTCGATCAACGAACCCCGGCCTTAAAAGGGACCCACAACCCCATGAAATGATCAAATAATACGGATCGGATTACCTGTTGTGGTCCGTGGCGCAGAGGCAGCCAGCAGGAAGTTACTCCCTCCGTCCACAAATAAACTTTACATTTCGCGTTACGATGTTTGACTGAAGTTATTTTCAATTCATTTTATATGAAAAATGGTATAGAATTGAAAAATAAAAATTACATATTAAAAAACTATATAAAAAGATCTACAAAACTAGAGGTGACATGACTATATTATTTTATCAAATGGGTGACGAAAATAGGCCAACAAAGTGAATAAAGTTTGACCCTGTGAATAGTGAACGTAAAGTTTATTTGTGGACGGAGGGAGTAGTTTTTAGGGCATATCTCATCCAAAGTTGGAATTCTAGCTAAATAAACCCTTGAAATGAGAAGTGTTTTGTGGGACGGATAAAAAAAGAAATGAGAAATGTTTCATGGGACGGAGGGAGTAATTACTTTTCTAGTTCCTAATCGGTATAAAATGGTGAAATCTTATTTAAAAATTAAGTTTTTGAGTTAGAATATTAAATCTCGATTTTATATACAAGTGGTTAATTTTACGCGACGCCCTACTCGTTGGTATCGGAGCAGGTCCGCTCGGGAATTGATTCTTCATGGTTGTTTAATATGACTAATGAAAAAAGAAAGTCAATATAATTTGATCATACATATGAATAGTTACTCGTTAATAAACTAAATTTAAGATGGAGGGACTATTTTTTATTGTGTCAATCCACATCAGAAATTCAAAAGCAAAATAATCCGGTATATAAGCTTGGGTTATAGAATTTATGGATGGACAACTGGATTAGGCAAGAAGACATTTGGGTTGAACCACATTAAAAAAAGATTGAATCCAATCAATTAGTTAGTTCAACTCAAGAGCTTATATACCGATTATTTTGCTCTTGAATTTCCGATGTGGGTTGACACTCTAACACTATTACTCCCTCCGTCCCAAATTATTTGTCACATTTCTATCACCGAGTCAAAATATCAAGTTTTTTCAATTCATTTTATTTACATATTGGTAAAGAAATAAAAAATAAAATTTACATATAAAAAAATTACATGAAAAGTTCTTCGAAATAAGAGGTGTCAAGAATATTTTATTTTATCAAATAATCAATGAAAATGTAAAAATAAACAAAAGTTCCGGCGAATGTTGAAAAAGAAAATGTGGCAAATAATTTGGGACGGAGGGAGTATTATTTACTTTCGTTATTATTCTATTGTTATCATAATTACTTATTCTAGATTCTACAAGTATTCTCTATGTATATTTTACTATAATTCTCATTATTTTGTAACATCAATTATTATCAAATTATGAATGTATAAATAATTGTTTTATTGTCATTGGAAAAAACTAGATCGAAAGAAGTTAGAAAAAAATTAGAGGAAGTTGAAAAAGTCAAAGGAGTTGGAAAAGATAAAAAAAGGACCTAAAAGTATTACTCCCTCGTCCTCCTGGAAAAATATTCTACCTTTAAGTTGTTGTAACTTGTAATGTAAACTTTTGAAAATAAACAGATGTGATTGAAAGTGGTCCACGCGAAAAAATAATACTCCCTCCGTCCCTAAATAGATTACAATTTTTTTTTCTCTCCTCTCGATAACTTTTATTTATTTACGCGATTTCATTAAATATTTGATAAAATAAAATATTCTTGTCACCTCTTGTTTTGTAGAACTTTTGACGTAGTTTTTTAATATGTAATTTTTATATCTTATTGATATACTAATTTGTAAATAAAATGATTTCAAAAAATAGAAAATTTTACACGTAACCCGCAATTTGTAATCAAATTGGGGATGGAGGGAGTATTAGCCGTTGGTGGGTTGATAGACGCTAGAGGCCCATAGAGCGCCGGAGGCCCGCTAGACGCCCTAGTTTAGTGGACGACGGAGGGTCGCTTGATGCCCTGGCCATGTGAACATTCTCGGGGCTACACGTTTCAAGTTTTCAATGTGTTGATTTTTGAATTTTTTTTAGTCAGCACGTTAATTGATGAGATCGGAATCCTTTCCACCCTTCCAAATTCAACCACCCTTCAATCCTTGTTTTTTCAATCTCTCACATCTCACAATATATTCATGGCCTCTCTCCTCCTTACTCATGGTGTCTTCTCTTTCCTGCGGGCATTCTACTCCTGCATCAAAGATCTATAGAATCAATTTTTAAAAAACCCATAACACATTAAAACAAAAGTAAGGCAAAAGGGGGGAAATAGAGAAAGAAGAAAGAATACCTTGATCTACAATTCATCCCTCCCTCCAAGAAAGTCGTAAAAATTCTCACAATTGAGAAAAGAAATAAGGCACTGCCCGGATTCAAGAAAAAGACAAAGAATGTCAAGGATCTTCAATAAACAGACACTTCCAATAGCTTTCTCTGTTCTTGTTCAAAGACGTCAGCAGCTATCAACGCACGTTAGACTTCACTCTTCTCCAACGACGTCAGCAACTACCGGCACATGTCAGGCGTCTCTCTTCTCCAACAATGTCTGCAGACACCGGCGCACGTCAGACTTCTCTCTTCTTCAATGAAGTCAGCACCCAATGCACCGGCGCACGTCAAACTTCTCTCTTCTAAAAGTTTCCAGTTTCCAGCTAGTGCTAATCTTCCTCTTGCTTCAGCCAGAGTTCAGCTTGAGGGGACATGTTAGACAATATTAATAGTATAATTACTTAAGGTAGTATTGATCATGGTAATATTTGATTATTACTTGGCTTCTTATTCTTATTTATGGTAGATGTAGTATTTTAGTACGTTTTTATTCTCTATTTCTAATTGTGTTAGAGTTACCTCCTATATATACTTTATCATGTACTCCATAATTCAATGAAAAATATTACTCCCTCCGTTTTTTAAAACATTTCCTCTTTCATTTTTTTCACTTCCAACAAAACACTTCCACTTTCTATTAAAAAACCACTTTTACCCTTACTTTTTCATACCCTACCTATCACATCATACTTTATCTCTAATAATCTATCCATCACATCTTACTTTTACCTATCACATCAAGGGCAAAATTGGAAGTCAACTACAATTTAATACTTCCTTATTTTTACACAAAGTCAAAATAGGAACACTTTTTCCAAACGGAGNTTTCATTTTTTTCACTTCCAACAAAACACTTCCACTTTCTATTAAAAAACCACTTTTACCCTTACTTTTTCATACCCTACCTATCACATCATACTTTATCTCTAATAATCTATCCATCACATCTTACTTTTACCTATCACATCAAGGGCAAAATTGGAAGTCAACTACAATTTAATACTTCCTTATTTTTACACAAAGTCAAAATAGGAACACTTTTTCCAAACGGAGGGAGTATTATTCTAATATTTCAACAAAAACAAAAACATAAAGACTAAAGTACACAATAACCCACAACTTAAAATACTACTCTTATTAATTAAAGGAAAAAGACTAAAATATGAGTAAAATGTTGAAAATATACCAAAATAAGATGATAGAATTTAGGATGGGGTAGTGATAACTGGATTGGGCAATAAGACACTTGGGTTGAACCACATTAAAAGATTGAATCCAATCGATTAGTTAGTTCAACTCAAGAGCTTATATACCGGTTATTTTCCTCACACTTTTCCGATGTGGGATAGATTCTAACACTCCCCCTCAAGTGGACAACCGGGCCATTTTGAATCTAACCGGTTGACCACTTGCAAATGAACTCCCATTCCCTTGACTTTTTTTTTTATGAGCGCCAACACCTAAAGGACCACGAGCCGCTGGGTATGGACTTCCAGACGAGCAATCGTGTTAAACAGGCCACAGGCCGTTGGTTACAACCTCCATACGGACAACTGGGCTAAAGACTAACGGGCCGCTAGGAATGAACGTCTAGACGGACACCTTGACAGACGAGGTGGGCTAAAACTGGCTCCGATACCATGATAGAATTTTGGGATAGGTATGGACAACTGGATTGGGTAATAAGACACTTGTGTTGAACCACATTAAAAGATTGAATCCAATCGATTAGTTAGTTCAACTCAAGAGCTTATATACCGGTTATTTTCCTCACACTTTTCGGATGTGGGATAGATTCTAACAGTTTCACGTTTTTAATTCTCAAAATATGAGTTAAAATGCATTTACAGGTCAGTCATTAGCATATATACTACCAAAAATATTGTGAAATTAATGTCTAAGTACAGTGTCATATTATCACAATATAAATTTTTTTAGATGATAGAAAAAAAGAGCTCATATTCTGATATTTTCTCTATGTTTTTTTACTCTTATTCAAAATGATTTTAGTTTAATAAAACATCTCATGCAATTAAATAAGGTTTGGTTCGAGTTGAGATTTTAACCTAGAAGTTACCTTAAATAGGACTAAAACATAGAGAAAAGAACCAAAATAAGACTTTCATTTTTTTTTTCCCAGAAATAGAACTTTGCACTATTGTAATGTGACACTGTACATGTGCACATTACTATACTTTTTTGGTAATATAAATGACCATGTTTGATAGTTTGGTCATATTTCGGGAATAAAAACATGAAAGTCTTATTTTGGCATATATTCAATGTTTTAGTTTTGTCTTTCTACCTTTTTAACCAAAATGATATGATTGCATCCTAATCTCGTGGCCCTTTGTTCTGTGCTTTGATGAGTTTGTACGTATGTCTATATATATGGGGCGGCAGGCTTTAGATAGGGAGTGAGTGACATACATACAAGAGTTAGATAATTGGGTGAAAATGAGAATGGGTTTTTGGGGAATGAATAATAATAAGGCTCTTATTCCTTCATCATCATCATCATCATCTTCTTCGTCTGCAATAATAATAATAACAACAACGTTGGTGTTGTGTTTCATTGTTAGGGTTTCTTCAAACGAAACCAGCAGTGCCGCCCTCACTCTTGGCTATGAACAAGTGGCAACTGTGCGCCTTGGTCGAATATCCAAGAGTTGGTCTGCCCCTTGCTTTGCCCAGAACGCTGCTCGACTAGAATTATCTATAATTTCCGGGACAAGCATTGGCTCGGTTTACATCATGGTAAAAATAACACGAACAAACAAACAAACAAGAGAACTGAAAACCATATATATTTGCATGGTTTATTATATATATATATATATATATATATAACTTCAAATTCATCATACATATGATATCATCATTAAATTTCTTCATATATATGTCTCAAAAACAAAGATAGATTGATCCATTTTGTGCATGATCATCATCAGCCACACAATGGAAAGTGTTGGAGCTGCCGAGATGATTACCAGATAAGGTTGGGGGATGAAATAATGTCAACCGGCAGTGTTTATTTTGGTGCTGTGGAAGCTCCTTTCTTGTTCGCCTACATGACTACGGATCAAAGGGAAAGAGTAAGCTCCTTTATTTATTTTGTGCAAGTTGAAATATTCTTTTTAAATGTGCAAGTTTTAGTTTTATTTCGACCCCAATCTCTCACTAATAGAAATGGAAAAAAAAACTTGAGTTTTTTACTTCGTTTTACATTTATATTATTAGTCTTTTCCAGACGAAAGAAGTTTATTTTATCGTAATAAATCAAATGAAATTTGCACTAAATAAGATTAAAACATAATGACTTTCCTAATGTAGAACTTAAACTTTTTAATTCCCTAAATAAGACATAATAATGACATAGTGGAAGAAATAATGTCCAGTAATGATGGACATTATTTGAATAATGACTACTTGATAATGATTAAAGGTCCTACATTGGAAAATAAAAACATATGATCCTATATTGAGAAAGTCATTATGTTTTAGTCCTATTTTGGTAAATTTCTCATAAATCAAAGTACTCCATCCATTCAAAACAGATTTTTTAAGAGAATATTCTCACGGTGAAATTTTTTTCATTTTCCTCGCTTATTTCTATCAGTCTTTTATAATGCATACTTCATACTCCATCCCCCCTAAAAAAGTGTTCCTGTTTCATTTTTTGCGCATCACATAAAACAATTCTATCCCGTTTAAATGTCTAAAAAACTTTCAAAACAACTTCTACCCACAATAAAGGGGAAATATTGTAAATTTTAGAAATTGAAAAATAGGTAGAAGTGTTTTATAGGATGCACAAAGAATGAAACAGGAACATTTTTTGGGACGGAGCTGAGGGAGTATAAATTAGTAATGTCGCCTGTTATTTTTAAGCTCTTTTTCTGCAATTTTAAATACTTAAATTTTATTATTAAATTATACACTTACAATCAGATAAATCTAATTAAAAATAAAGTTAATTAGTAATGCCTTCTAAATTGAAATAGGAAATCCAATTATGGACAAAGGGAGTAAATTTTTCAAAAATATCTCATAATATAAATCTAAATAAAGTGTTTTCATACTAATATCAATATATATAGAAATATGTGTGTGTGTGTGTGATAGAGGTAATTTATTACTCTCTTTGTTCTCAAAAACACTTTCTCTTTCATTTTTTTCAATTCCAATAAAACACTTTCACTTTCTCTTAAAAAACCACTTTTACCCTTATTTTTTCATACTCTACCTATTACGAAGTACATCATACTTTTTCTCTAATAATCTAACCATCACATCTTACTTTTACTTATCACATCAAGGACAAAATTGGAAATCAACTACAATTTTACACTTCTTTATTTTTCCACTTTTTCAAAATAGAGACTCTTTTTGAGAACGGAGGAAGTACAATAAAAAGAAGGAAAGTACAAAAAGGGGACTAGGCCAAACCCTTCTCGAAAAAAACGAAAAACTGCCCAATAGTGGCAATAAAGAAAAGTAATAGAGCAATACAAAACATAATTTAAATTCGAACTATAATTGGGCAGTCTTTCGTTTTTTTGGAATTAAGAATGTGTGTGTCTGTGTGTCTGATGTTTTTAAATGGATTATCATTTTGTGCATTATAGATCCAGAAAGAAGGAATGAAGATTTTCGTGGATAAGAATGCAGCTTGTAATGGTGTTTCCAGGAAGATAATGAAGAATCCATTTCTAGATATGGAATTTGTTGCAATGAATTGAAACACGATAATGTGCTGAATTAAGGCTGGATTGTTTGATGCATTATTATAATAAGAAAGCAATATCTTTATCCATTTCCCTTAAGAATGGATGGATAAGAATTTAAGAAGGTATTGCAAGTGTGTGCTTAGTAGCTACGAGCTAGCAGTATGTTTTCTCAATTTCTTAAGTATTATGGGCAAATGAACAATATAATGCTCTTTTTTAATTCTAAAATAAGATTCATGTTTCACGTTACATTGTTTAGATAAATCTATTATCGATCGATTCAATAGTATTATCATAATTCTTTATTTTCTTTTTGTAAGTATTCTTTATTCTTTATAAGTCTTGATGTAACCTTTGTAATTTTATAATATCAAATCGTATCATAGTATCATAGCTAAGTTTTGGAAAATCTAAACTCATCATCCACAGTCAATAAATTACCAAAGATAATGGATTATCATCATTTTATCCCTCTATTTTTCTCTAAAAAATTATGAGTATGCCTAACAATCATCATCCATTATATATATATCTCTCTCAATAATACGGAGTAATAATAATAATAATATATGTGCGTGATCAAAGAATTAAAAAATTAAATTTGTCTATGTTTTTTCTAGTGTTAAAAAGCATGAAAAGTGATAGAGAACTAAAGAATGACTCACAAAGACAAATGAAACTTATTGCTCTCGCTTCAATCGAAAACACTTTCTAGGAAAAAGAACTTAGCAATTATGCTCTCACTTCGTTCATCATTCATTAAAGATCTGTCTAATACGAATATCCTATTGGATAGGGAAGAATGACTTTTCATAAACCATATTATATGGTAAAATATTTTTTCATTTTTTGTTTAAATTTGTAGAACTTTTGATTTATTTTTGAACGGTGTAATATCTAGTTTTTATTTCTGTACCACTTTATAATTAAAATGATTTTAAAAATAATAAATTTTAAACGTTGTTCGAACAATAACAAACATTTTGTTATAGGTACTACTCCCTCCATTTCTTAAAACCCTTCCTCTTTCATTTTTTTTTTGTTTTTCTAAAAACACTTCCCTTTTCTATTAAAAAACTACTTTTACCCCTAGTTTTTCATACCATAATTATCACATCATACTTTTTCACTAACAACTAAACTATCACATCTTACTTTTACCCATCACATCAAGGGCAAAATTGGAAAGTCAACTACAATTTAACACTTTCTTATTTTCCTCCAAAGTCAAAAGAGGAACTCTTTTGAGAAACGGAGGGAGTATTTTCTAACACAGTCCTCAATAAATAATAATTATATAATCCCTCTATTTCTAAAAGAATTACACAATCACTATTCTTGTCAACTGATGACTTTTGTGTGTTTACATGTTTAGAATGACTATTTGATAAAATAAAATAATTTTATCACATCTTATTTTGTAAAAAAATTTTATGCTGTTTTTAAATATAAAAGTTCACCTTTTATTTCTATTCAAACTTGTAAAAAATAAAATAGGTTTATAGATATGGAAGTTTATGCATGTTTAGAAGCGTGTAATTATTTTAAAAGACAGAGGAAGTACGTGGCATTTTATATTTTTATAATGGGCTACATTCTGTGGACACAAAACATAAATTTTCATGATTTTTGAATTATAAACATTGACATTCTATTTTGGACAGAGGGAATGGAGGTTAAGGCTAAATTCATCCCAAAGATTGGCTATAGCTATACTTTTTCTAAATTTACTAAATTTGTATTCATTAATTTCACTTTGATGTGTGTATAGATTTAACAAATCAAACTACATTAAAAAAACTAATCAAACCAAAAAAGTAGATATAACTAGAGTAAATTCCATAAAAGATCCTCAGTTATAGGTCGTTTTACATATTTAGTCCCTACATATCAAATATTACTTATTTAGTCTCCAATTATTATATTCATTTTTACGAATAGTCCTTTTTTAACATTTCCGTTAAGAACGTGGATAAAATTGTAAATTCACACTTCTTTCTCTCCTCAATTAAGCTTCTTCCCTCCCCTCACACTCCTTTCCAAAATCTGTCGCTGAGTTTGAAGCTTTGAACCCAAATTTGAAATTATCACTCTTCTCTCAATTGTTTGTCGAACTGATGGAACCCAAATGTGAAACCAGTAACCTTCATGGATGAGTTTTAATGTTTATTTTCTTTGCAATTTCTTGAGACTAACCGATAAAATTCATCCATAAAGCTATTGGTTTTGATTTTAGAGAGGGGTGATCATTTCAGTTTTGGGTTCACTACAAGAAATTTGGTGTTTTGGCGCACTTAAAATGGTAGTTCGCCACACTTATAAATGTGGGAAAAACACTTTGCCACACATGACCTAAGTGCGGCTACGTAACTGTGGGCAATTTTTAGCCGCACTTGTAGATAAGTGTGGCTAATTAATATTTTAACAACACTTAATATGTGCGGGTAATAATTTTTTTCGCAACACTTACATGTGTTGGGAAGGCACCACACATATAAGTGTCACAAATATCATTTTTTTTAAAAAAAAAACTATATGCACAAGCATTATTTTTAATATTTTAAATTCATAAAAAGCCTATGCGGGATTTGAACCCACATCTCCGTGCACTCTTGCACACGACACTCTACCATTGAGTTAATAGGCTATGAAAATGGTTCAAATAATTAATATGCATTTTCACACACGACACTCGAAACAAAAGAAAATTTTTATTAATTAAAAGGAGAGTAATACACCACAACATCTCAAAGTAACCAATTAAGCAACCCTTGCTAAATGCTTCTGAAAAACACAAGAACAACAAATTAGTAATCATCAAAACTCCCAATAGCTTGACTTTGACAGAGCATGTGTTGTGTTCCAATGCGCAACCACATTCTGGTTTAAAACCTAATGAAAACAATAAATTATAGAAAAAGGTATCAGTCAATTGTAATTGCACTCAGCATCTCAACTCCAGCACCTGCTCTTGTTTTAGGAACTACAAGAAGAACCATAAGTCAAACCACAACAAATCTCAAAGTCCCTATTTAAGAACCAGGAGTGCAATGCTCATTTGCAGGACACCATTGTAGCACATGTTGAAAATTTTAGAAAAATTCTATGCCAAACCAACTACTCAATAAACAATCCCAAAACCGTGGTTTGCCATTTGAATTTAAAGATGGATGTGAAAACTTGAACATTAATTTTAGCTCACTAAAATTCACATCTAGAATACTATAACTCCAATGCATTGCCTAAATGCTTGAAAATTACCAAGGCTTGGTCTAGTCCTCCATGAGTGCCTCGTTCATTCTCTCATGTAATCAAAAAATACTTTTCATAGTAACATCCTTCAAAGTGACTCTGTCCAAAGAAAAACAAACACCAAAATCCTCCAAGGCATGAGCGATATGTGAGAACCACATGTTTCCAGTTAAATATACAATGATGCAACTCATGTCATTCAAATCTAAAATAGAAATATTTCTCTCTTACTAAAATAAACCTTACAACCTCTCCAATTCCTTTTAAAGAAAGATAATATATATCTCTCAACATTTCTCTCTTACTAAAAAATTCTAACCACCCGACGTTTCAAAACTTAAACTACATGAAGATAAAAGTGGGAAATTTTTTTTGAGACAAAGGGAATATATTGCAAGTTTGATTCAAACTACTTAACATAATATAAAAAGAAGAAAGCATGAAAAGTAAAATACAAACAACGACAAGATTTTTGTATTGTGAAGGAAATTTACATCACCATTCCAAATTGGAGAATAGCCTTCTTTGTTGGTGATATAGAAATATGCTCCACCACCCAGTCAGAAGCTAGGCATACAAAATGGATGTTAAATTACTACTTATGCAACAAGTGAAAAGATAGAGGACATAAATTATGATACAGATTAAGGTAACATGTCAATAAGTCTTTTGTGATTTATGTCATGTTCAAAAAGAAGAGCATATTCATATGCCTAATATATTACAAAAGAGTACCATGTTATTGCCTAGGAAACTATCACTTCAAGAAACTTAGAAAATAAAGAAATATTTCTACATAAAATCCAATAAGCATGATAAATACTTCAATAGTTGTTAAGCAAAACTCAAAATACGTCTCTCTTTCAACATGTATATGTTTCATTCCAAACATATATTTACCGGGGGTGGGGGGTGTGTTCGGGTCGGGACGAGGTGGGAGGATTTACCGGGGGGTTAAGGGGGATAGGAACCGTCAATTTTACAAACGGGGCACCGGAGCGCCCCGGGTCATCCCATGACATTGCCGGGCAATGTCATTGGAACCTTGGTGATAAACTATTATATACAAACTAGAATTTAGATTTTCCAATTGAACAAGCTTATATAAAGTATAAATTCACACTATTAAGCAAGGATTCAGACTCTAAAAATTATCAATATAATACTAAAATATAAAATTTTTCTTGAATTATACGCATGTACAGTAGCCAAGAGTTTAAGGATTTCATCACAAGTATTGAATTAAAATCCAACAAAAGCAATTAGATGTCCCTAAGGCACACCCAAGCATCACACCACAAAGTTGAAATACGAGCAAAAACCTGAGAATCAGAGAAGCCATGGTTGCAGTGAACAGTAACACCGGCCTTCATTTTGCCTCAAATCGTTGGATTCTGCAATTGAATTGGAAATCTGATTACAAATCTTGAGAGGCATTCCAGGTCGCTCATATCCCCCTAGAAATGACCTTCGATTCAGCATGAACATCAACAGATTTGGATTTGAAGTTCTCGCGATGAACAGTGCACTCGAGAAATTCATTGGAAGGGATTTTCTCGTTCATCACTGCATCTGCATCTTCCTTTGTGCATCAGATATCGATGGTCGTTGGGAGCTAGGGTTTTGAACCATAGTCTCGGCGTCGTCGCCCTTTGTTGTCCTCCTTGTTATCGTATCTGAGGAATCAAATACAGAAATTCATTTTTCGATTTTCAGATCATCCATAATATATGTCGCGTGAAGAACGGCGAGTGAGATCTGATCGCATCGGTGTGTTCGGATTACCGAGTCGATCGAATATGGCTTGGATGGGCGGTTGTAATTAGATAAGTGGGGATATGAAACATCACACCAACCCTTATCCCGGAGTATTAATTTCTTAATTAAATTGGAAAATACGGAGTATAATTCCTACCACACTTAGTCTTGTGTGGCAAAATAAGTGTAGTGACGTTTAGAGCTTCAAACTCAGCGACGAGTTTGAGAAAGAGTACGAAAGAAAGGATGAAACTTAATTGAGGAGAGAAAGGAGTGTGAATTTACAATTTTATCTACGTTTTTAACAGAAATGTTAACAAAGGACCATTCGTGGAAATGAATATAATAATTAGAGACTAAATAAGTAATATTTGATATGTAGGAACTAAATATGTAAAACGACCTATAACTGGGGACCTTTTATGGAATTTAGTATATAACTGAAGAATAATTTTATTCAATGATTAATCAGGAGGAGCCAAGCCCCATATATATACAGTGAGAGTTGTAAATAAATATGGTAGAAATAGCAATAAAGAAACCCTATAGAAAAGATAACTACCATATACAAATATATAAATAAATATATACTAAATGTATTAACAAAAAGACATTTTTGAGATAAATTTAACCAAAGGGAAGTATGGGTATCAAATTATCAATAACTCTGGTGCGTACTATCAATGACAAATTAAATATATCAATGACAAATTAAAAAAAATAAACAAGATGATTACAAACTTCACAAATCTATCATTTGTAGTTTAAGTTTTCATTTTGAAATTATTTTAGACTATTTAATTTTTTTATTGAAGTTCAAAAATAGTAAATTTGTAAGTTTTGTCACCAATTTGTTAGTGAATCTAGCATTTCTCAAATATATTTAATGGCACTCATCACTTTTTGTTCTTAGAGCATCTCCATTCAAAAATAATCTTCTCACTTTGATTTTACACGCAAATTAAGAAAAAGTAAAACATGTTTTGACTTTTCATATTTGTCATTAAGCCATGTAAAAAGTGAGTATAATATAAGTATGGATACTAATAAATGGGTAAAAGTAAGGATAGTGATGTAGTTTAAAGAAAACACATTTCCCAAAAAAAGATAAAAGAAGACGTAGAAAGATGAATTATGGATGTACGGAGTATGTAAGTTGGACTGATGTTTGGTCTCATAGAATTAGATGGAAAAAAATGGGATGACGGTCTCTCTAAGTTACGACCATCCTAACTCATTCCATCTCTCGTTTCATTTATTAATTCAAATAGACGAGACTCTAAAATGAGATCTCCCGTTGAAGAAGAAGTCACACTTTTTTCATAACCCCACATAGAAATTTAACATCATTTTTAATTAAATTGAGGGAGTAATATGGAAGCATAGTATCAGCATAGGTATCATTGTATCAATAACTCTACGTTACCAAAGAGGACAAATAGAATAGTATCTCCCGGTTCTCAGTGTATTTGTTCAGTTTGACTTTTTCAAATCAAACTGAACAAACTTTGAACTTTTGTTACTCTCAGTTTATATTGCATATTAGCATAATGAAATACAATTATGAAAGTTTCCCAATACGATAAATCTAATAAATTCATTCTTATGTTAAAATACATTAAAATTTTTATTTAATTAAAGTTTAAAATTTGTCAAAATTAACTCGTAAAATCAAACTAGACAAAAACCAAACTTAACTCGAAATGGCGCCCATCACTTTTTTACTTTTATGCTATGGTTTCTGTTTCACATTTAAAGACGAGCAGAACCTTAACCACTAAAAGGAACCCATGTCACCCAAGGACCACTCTTAGGTCTAAAGTACTCACTCAGTCACTCTCCTCCACACAAAAAAAAGGTGAGCCCATCTCTGAGTGCCCCACGTACTTGCCGGACATATTATTGAGGAGAGATAACATGAATTTTGATCCGAGATTGGTGGCAAAGAGTAGAGCTTGCATTGATGGTTGCAGGTAGGGGTGTTCAATCGGATCGATCTGATCCGAAAATTCGGATATCCAAAAATTTCGGATCATGTAAAACTCATTCCATATCCAATCCGATAATATTCGGATATCCGAAATTCGGATATACGATTTCGGATCGGATCACTGGATTATCCGAAAAGTTGAGTTTTTAGCCAAAATTTACAAAAAAAAAGGTAAAATTGCAAAATCAACCCAAAATATCAAATTCAATATAGATTTACTAAAAGAAAAATTACATCACTAAGTAATGGCCTAATAAAAAAAATGATAGCAAATTTAGTTTGGGAGTAACTTTGGTAATTTTGCCTAAACAAACAAAAAAACATTATTAAAACAAAAGATTCTAAAATGCTAATGCAAAAAGTCCAAAATGGTTGTGTTTCAAAATCAACATAAAATTACATTTAAACATATAGTCATAATATATATCTATAAAATTCCAAAAATATATAGCAAAAAAGAATCGGATATCCGGTTATCCGAAAAATTCCAGAAATTGAATCAATATCCGATCCGATTTTTTTCGGGTATCCGATCCGAAATATCCGAAAGCTAAAATATCGGATCGGATATCCATTTTTCGGATCGGATCGGCCCGGATCATGGACGGATATTTCGGATCGGATATTTTTGAACACCCCTAGTTGCAGGGATTCTATGCTTGACATAATTGCTTCCCATTGCAAATGGCAGAAATCGAATTCGGATGTTACCCCATTGACACTCTTTTTCTTGCCAACTGTGTAACTAGTCACTCTCTTCCACAGTTCCTCTAGATACGTACTCCCTCACGGAGCTGCATTTTCGGTCTGGATCCAGACCAACTCAAAACCCGGTTAAAACTGAACTGGACCAATTTTTTTGGTCCGATATTTGGTCCTCAAATTTTTTATTCGATCATTGGTCTGGTCTGGTTCAGTCTACCGGGTTCTAGTTCGGACTAGTTAGATTTTTTTGTATAATAATTATTTTTATATAACTTTATAAGGTTGTCTTTGAAGTTTTTTATTATACTTATAATGTTGCTTTAGTTTTAATACTAAAAGTTTTTAGTGTCATGCTTTTAATTTTTAAGGGTAAATTTCACAAATGATACCTGAACTTTAGCTGGAATTTCGAAGTGGTACCTGAACTTCAAATCCTTTCACAAAAATCCCTGAACTTACACAATCCTTTCACTAATGAGCCATTAGACCGTTTCTAGGTTAACTTCCGGTCATTAGGGCCAAATTCGAATTTTATATATTTTAAAATTTTCAATTTGACCCCATTTCTTCTTTTCTTTTCTTCCACGCCCCGCCGTGCGGCGGGCGGCCAGTTTCAGCGGCCTTTTACTTGAAAAAGGCTAAGGCCGCCCTGGTTACAGTAAGAGAAGCAGAACTCTGCTCCTAGTTATTATAGGTTTGGTAAAACAGATTAAACCGGATATTGAAGAGCTTAGACTTAAAAAGATGAGCTTTTTTGGGATTTTAAGCTTTAACCTAGGTTTTAACCCCCAAAACCAAATCTTCATCAAATCTTGCAATTGAGGGGTCCTTGGAGGTCGCCCGGATGCCACGACCGCATTGGCGTTGGTTCCCGCCGTCAATTTCGCCGGAGTTGGCCGGAAAACGCTCCGACCCGCCGGCGGTTTCCGGCGGGTCGGAGCGTTTTCCGGCTAAATCCGGCGAAATTGACGGCGGGCACCAACTCCAATGCGGTCGTGGCATCCGGGCGACCTCCAAGGAACCCTCAATTGCAAGATTTGATGAAGATTTGCAAAAACCTCAATTTTGGATCCAATTTCGAATTTTAGGGTTTTTTCGAGTAGAAAAATTCAGATTCGAGAAGTTATAGGCCAAATTAGACAAAATGGTTTGGATATAATTGATCCTCGTCTCAAGACGAAGAGAATGACATTGGTCCCGTTGGAATCGGAAAAAGTTCATTTTCCGGCGACTTTGACCGGCGGGCGGCGGCGGCAGGGCGTGGAAGAAAAGAAAAGAAGAAATGGGGTCAAATTGAAAATTTTAAAATATATAAAATTCGAATTTGACCCTAATGACCGGAAGTTAACCTAGAAACGGGCTAATGGCTCATTAGTGAAAGGATTGTGTAAGTTCAGGGATTTTTGTAAAAGGATTTGAAGTTCAGGTACTACTTCGAAATTCCAGCTAAAGTTTAGGTACCATTTGTGAAATTTACCCAATTTTTAACAACATTCTTTTAAAATAGTCCAATTAAAAATAAGATACAAATTCTGATATCTAAAAATAATAATATGAAAAGTGTGAAAAAAGTAAACAACACTTTTATATTAGCAATCTAATACTCCCTCCGTCCCAAAATAAAGTTTCTCTTTCATTTTTTCTTTGTCCCTAAATAAACTTCTCTTTTCCCTTAAAAAACCCCTTTTACCCCTTACTTTTTCATATCCTACCTATCACATCATACCTTTTTACTAATAATCTACCTATCACATCTTACTTTAACAATCACATTAAGGGTATTTTTGGAAAATCAACACCAAAATATCCATCCCTTAAATCCTCAAAAAGTCAAAAATGAAACTTTATTTAGGGACGGAGGGAGTATATGTTTAACTATGTACCAATACTATACTCACCCAAAAAAAAGTACCAATACGATAACTTCAATTTAAACTTTATCACTAACGAAAGTCTAATTAATAAAATGAACAGTGTAAAAAATCTCATTAAAAAATAGAAAAAATGAACTAACCATTTATCAAAATAAATTGAAAACACAAAAAAAGAAACCATAACAAAAAGTAAGCAGTTAAAAGAAGACCACTCCATATGTCAAACAAAAATTGCTTATTAGTTTTCCGTGAGGCAGATAGAAAAATTGCTTAAAGTTTGTTCAAAAAATTTAAAACAAAAGGGAGTTTCATAATGTGAAGTGTATGTTACGCATTAAAAATGAATAGTAGTAATACATCTATGCAATTGCATGGATACTTTAAATTAAATAATTAAAATCATTTTTAATTTTTTTTACATTTATCCGCTTTGATTCCGGTCCGGTCCGGC